CCCTGGGTCAGGTATGTCCACACACTCTTCTTCCTGCTCTTGCAGTCACCGTTATCTGTGCTGCCCCTGGTGCGGATGGGGCCTGGTGGCGTGCCCAAGTGGTTGCCTCCTACGAGGAGACCAACGAGGTGGAGATTCGATATGTGGACTATGGTGGATACAAGAGGGTGAAAGTAGATGTGCTCCGGCAGATCCGGTGAGTGGAGACCCCCTGGGTTTGTGCCCTACTTGGTGTGAGGGTGTGGTTCAATTCTGCCCAGCCTCCGACCAGGGTTCCTTCTTCCCTCCTGCTGCTACTGAGATTAACAAAGTTGGTGACTCATCTGAGTCAAACCTGGTTAGAAGGCTGTCTAGTGGAAGAGACCCTCAAGTATCAGATGTGGAGGGGGAGAAGACAGGTTCCTTTTTGAGTTTGAAGCAGGAGTCCTTGTGACATCGGGCTGCTGGAGGGCTGTCTGCCTGCTTTCAGGTGTGCTCTGTGCTGTGGCCTACAGTGCCATCCTGGAGTGTGGATGTCACTGTGCTAAGCAAAACGTAAATTGACTGGCAGTGGAGTTGGCCTTCAAGTCCATGTTGACTTGCCCTTTTCTTGGCTTTCCAGGTCTGACTTTGTGACCTTGCCATTCCAAGGAGCAGAAGTCCTTCTGGATAGTGTGATGCCTCTGTCAGGTAATGGGGGAGCCTCTGGCCAAGGGGCAGGTAGTGGCTGAGCAGGGGTCTTCTTAGAGCCTTGGTCTCACCTGGAGGGTTTATACAGACAGTTGACACTGCCATCGGAGTTCCTGGTTGAATAGGTTGGGGCTGGGGCCTGAGAACTCGCATTTCTGTCGAGTTCCCAGGTGAAGCTAGAGCTGCTGTGCCATAGACTGTCTTTTGGGGTCCACTTTTCTGGATGTATGGTGCCAGCATTAAGAGGCTTTCAGCAAAGGCATCTTCCTGAGCACAGTCCAGATTCGAGAGGGCAGGTGCTAGGTCAGCAGCACTGCTCAGCTGCTTCACAGGTGCTTAAGGGCACCCTGGGGACTTAGCTCACACTCATGGCTGTCTGGTGTCTAAGGCTGTGAAAGTATTGCCAAGGGGAAGAAGGCTGGCATTATTTAGTTTCCATTCTCTTCTCTGGAAAATGGGGGTGGCACCTATCTTTCAAGGTGGCTGTGCAGATTATAAAAACCCAGGAACTGGTGTGTGGAAGGTAGGCAGATAGCAGCTAATATAGCTGTTATACTTGTGTTTGCCCATCACACTCTCTTCCGGGGTTGGCCCCTTTGGATCTTGTTCTGGCTTGTCTACAGCAATCTAAGTGCAACAGAAGCACTACGCTCTAGCTGGAGTCACATCAGGCAAAACACTGGGCAAGGTCTTGGAGTTTTTCCTTTCTTGCTCTTGCCCAACCTTCCTCTCCATTTCTGTCCAACTGAATGATCTGTCTAGACTCGCTGAAATGCTCCCTCCTTCATGAGACTTTCCCACACCTTCAGAAACACCTGCTCCCATCCCTCCCACTCCCTGCCTTGGGCCTGTTCTTGTTGTTTTTTGAACCAACAGAGCAGAACTGCCTCGGTGCCACCTCCACAAGAGAGCGGCTGCCTGGATTTGAATTCCAGCTGCACACTCTGGGAGCTGGATGGCCTCTGGTGATTAGCCTGTGCCTCAGTGTTCTCACCTGTAAAACGGGCATAAAACCTGTCTTAGGGTATTGCTGATTTGGTGGAAGAGCTAGCACTATTGGTCCCCAGATTTGTGGGGATGGTATTTCCACTGAAGGGAGAAGTTTCCTCCTTTATCCTCTGTCATTCTGAGGGTGACGTGCATCTGGCATCCTGGAGTCCTGTGGAGGTCTAGTCTCTACCTGACGGGTGGTTCCCGAGAGCAGTCTCAAGTCCCTGCAGCGTCTGAAGCTTCCTGCTCAGAATACAATG